CACCGGAGCAGATGTAGACAAGAATGACTCCTTAACGATCGAGGTGTTCTGTTATTGGATGTAATAATGAACATAGCAGTCGTCATTTACTCCCGACAACTGAGCCATTGAAGACACAGAGGATTACCTTTGTTTCTGAAGGGAATGGGCCCCCCGATCTCCTTAAATGCGTCTATGTTCGCGCAAATCATTTGTGATCCAGCTTCACCTCCAGAAGAAGTGAGTGCAAGGTTTTTTAATGAATCTTTGCAAATAGCCTTTCCTAATAATGTGCTAGTTAGCGAGTTTTACAATGAATGCGGTTAAAGTTTACACTCACTCAGAGAGCAGCTCGGAAGAGAGGGGCAGGGTGTGCAGAGCTCATTTGCATTTAAAGCGGAATGCAATAAAACAGCGTGCTGTTGACAGAGCTGTTTTTGACAGGGTAAAAACGGTGTTGTTTTACACTACCATTTAGAAATTTTAACCAAACTATGTTACAGACTTTTAATTAAGACCCTAAAGGCGGGGTCAGCAGAGCTCATTAACATTTAAAGGAAAATGCTACAAAAACAGCTTGATCTGAAAAGAGCTGTTTTTGAAAGGGTAAAAAAAGGTGTTTTTTTACACTACCATTGAGAAATTTTAACCAAACTGTTACAAACTTTTCATTAAGACCCTAAAGAATCATATTAACTTGTGGAAAATGGGCATCCGATGACCCCTTTAACAAATTATCTATTATAAATTCTATAACAAGTTAGAGAAAATTTAGCACAGTAAATAAGCCTACAATATAATGTGATAAATTGTAGTAAAGGTATTCATGAGTAGTTTTTTGATTGAAGATTTTGAAATATATATGTTAGTGCTGGTGCAAAATTGTTTTCTCCTCTTTTCATCAGTTGTTTTTATTTTATGTGCCTTTTTTTTTGATGATGATGTTCGACTTTCTCCATAGCATTTTAGAGTGACAATTTCCCAATAGAATTCAAATAGATCACACATTTTACCATCAGCTTTGTGATATGAATGGCTCACGCAAATCTCATCACACTTCTCATGTACGCCGTTAAACGCGCGCACAGTGTATGGTGATTCGCGCGCCGCTCGTGCACAATTAAAAGAACTGCGCTTCAGTCATATTGTGATGATAACTGGTCCATTCGGTTCGTACATTAAAGGGATAGTTCACCCAAACATCAAAATTCTGTCATTAATTACTCACCCTCATGTCTTCCAAACCCGTAAGACCTTCGTTCAGCTTCGGAACACAGATTAAGATATTTTTGATAAAATCTGAGAGCTCTCTGACCCTCCGTAGACAGCAATACTTGCAAAATGCTTGCACTGTACTTGCTCGTTTTGGTTATGCCCATCCCCCCCACAAACTATGCCCCTGTTTCATTTAAATGTCTCATTTTGGTGTCTCCTCTCGCAGTGAGTGGATTCTAACTTATACGCTTCAAATTGGCCACTGTGTTCAAGAAATCAGAAAATCAAACATTGACTCAATGTTTGACTCAATCAAACTCATAGACTGTAAAAAAAGATGGACGACGCGTCTCCTATTCCTTCCACTATAGAAAAGTGAAGCCAAAGCATCTCAGTATGGCCGCTGCCATCTTAAGTAAATGACGTAATTTGGAGCCAGAGTCTCGAGATTCGTTTGGAGCCAGAGTCTGCGCAGTAGTCTCGTGAGGTAGAGCCTCGGTATCAAACTCCCACCCAAACTCCCGCAGACCCAATCAGCCATGATGACACGCCCCATTTTTATAGCATCAAATTACTAGCTGAAATCAAACCTATCACAAAAACAAACAATTGAACATATATCAGCATGATTACAACTACCTTAAATGACCAAAACTATCTTTCGAAAAATTGTATTGGAAGCATAATTTTTTTTTTCTTTTGACTCAAGTACCATTCGTTTACATGGAGAGGGCGGGGTTTTTGACCTGTACTACAGCCAGCCACCAGGGGGCGATCAAAGAGCCCGAAGCTTTACTTTTCAGGATGTGTGAGGCACACCTGGATTGGCTACACTGCTCAATTTATTGAAACGTTGAAAATAGAAAAATCTGATGCTCTCCAGAGCGCAAACACAAATATGCACAATATTCTCCAGCTTTTGTTTGAGCTACTGTCCTCATCTGTCTTCTTCATGTTAAGTTTGCAGTTCATTTTGAGTAACCTCTCAAATCTTGCTGTATTTGAGAGCTGTTAAGTTATTAAAAGATAAAGTTATGGCTCTGAAATGGGCAGGGGTGGATTAAGGTGGTCAGGGGCCCCTATGCTTCTCTTTGTGTGAGGCCCCCCTTAATCATTATGCTTTACTGGAGAAATGTATTTAGTGCCATACATGGTCCACACGCAAATAGTAAGGTGAACTGGCATACACACACATTTAGACAGCCAATCCTACAGTGTTTCCTCTACATTCCCAGTGTCCCCACAGGATTTTGTGAGACTGTGATGGGTACACATTGGTTCCTCTAGTCTAGGGGTTCTGCGGGTATAAGAACATTTTGTTCAGTTTAAATTTAAATGCATAAATCTGGTGCATTTTGAGAGCAGAATCAAGTGACTAGATCAATGAAGAAATATGTGCTCTTTCTTAGGTCATGTCCACACGTACACGGGTATTTATCTTGCTAATCATCTTGTAATAAATGTCATTTCAGCTCTACTTTCTGAGTATGAATTATCATATGCAGTAAAAACAACAACACTCAAGCACTGTAAAAGGTTTTGTTCAACTGACTGGCTTCTCTCCTGTATGATTTCACGTGAGTCTCTTCAGACCTTAGAACTGTACATGAATTATGAGCTTCTGGAACGTTTGACCTCCTAACTGAGCTCCTTTTCACAAATTGAACATAGAAATAAAAACTGTATAAATAACACAAAATAAACAACAGTTCTTTCTTAGTCGTATTAACCCTCTAAGCGCCAAAGTCACAAAATTGCGACAAGAAGTCATACTTAATAAAATAGATTGTAGTTCCTGATATGGTGTAATATCTCATTTGTATTCCCTACCACTAGATGGCAGACATGTAGTCTGAGACCAAATCTAGTCTGCAGATTCTAGACCAAAATTATGTCACGTTCCTATTCAAAGTGTTCGAAAAAAAAAAAACATGCAAATAAGTTCAAACATCAATTCAATATCTACTATTTCCTGAATATTATGAAATTCAAGATGGCCGCCCCTGATGACGTAATAATATGCAAATTAGATGAGTATATTTACAACCCACATAAACTTTCGGTCATGCCCAACATTTTTCTAATTTTTACAGTAGATCTCTATCTTTAAGCCCTTTCAAGCCACACGCTTTTGAAATCTTGATGTCAAAATCCAGCATTTTTCCAAAAAGGGTGAAGTGCGAACAATAAGTGTTCTCTCTATATTCAAAGTGCAAATAGAGAAAAACATTTTCAAGCATGATGCGAAGCTATAGACAACTACAAAACCTATTATAGCCTACATACTAATAACAGCCTAGATATGTTATGTAGCCTAATTTGCGCGCAACGAGGAGTCGCTCTCATAACGTGGGGTATTTAAATCGCTTTTGAATGCGCATGCACGTTTTACTTTCGGTTTCGATTTAACAATCGCTCGAACTCTCGGCGGTGCTGAGCGTGCATTCTGCAATACAAGAAATTAATTTTGTCAGACGCTCTGCTACAAATCCTCCTTTGATGTTTCTTATGGGCCAATGAGGGTCTTTTTTGTTCGCGCTGAAGAAAATTTAATAAAAAATAGTCCGGCCAATCCGAGGCCCCTACACACGCTGGGGCCCCTAGGCTGCAGCCTAGGCAAGCCTGTACGTTAATCCGTGCCCGGAAATGGCCTCACAGCTTCTTGTAAAATTGGATGGAATAAAGTTATTATCTTCACCACAGAAAAAGTCAGAAACTGATGTTAGACAAAGGATCACTGCAAAATGCAATCAATTTCAATTTAAAGCTTATTCCCCAAAAGCAGCTTTTCAGAAATATCTTCAAAATATCTTCTTTTGTGGATAAGGAATTCATATTGCCTGTCATTCTACTATTTAAGTTCCAGATATTTAGATGGACACATAATCAAAGGATGTTGTTTTTCATGCTAAACATGTTTAAGATTTTGTATTTAGTTGTTGTTTTTTTCATTAGGCTACATCCTATAATTATCACGTGTTTTCATTTATCTTCATTTCCATATTTACATGCGGCAACGTTGTGTGATTTTCAATTAAATATTTGACTAATAAATTTGCTCGGTTTTCTCCTCAAATCCTCACTCACAAAGACTGTTGATGCTGATCAAATACCATTTGAGTATATCATTTTAAGTGTTTTTCATTTATTTGTGCAGATCGGCTATTTTTAAAGGAAAACAACAGCGCACGCACAAAGTATTTTCCCCGTATTATTTCTCTTCTCTCGCCGCTTCACACTCCAGTCCAGCGGGTGCGCTAAAACACATACGGTTGTTTGTCAAACACCATTAAACCTCAGAGGAAGAAAATTAGTTTCACCGCGCTCTCTGTTGTTTTGTCGTGATGCTGATTTAATATAGACTGTTAGAAATGTTTATGTAAATAGAAAAAGTACAGTTTTTGATTCAGGTCAGTAAATACCTGTAATATTCTCATCCTCATAGTCGTGACTAAGTTTTGAAGCAAGCAGGAATATCTGGAGGAGTATCATCTGAACTGAGATCTGCTGCTGTGAAGATGGTGTTTGTTAAAGAGGAGAGTGAGGAGAACACGAGTGAACCAGAAACCTGGAGAATAAAACACGAGGAACAAGGAGGTTGGTGTTTATTCTTCATTTATCTTTAATGACTTGTTGTGTTACATTACACTTACAAAACTTTAGAGGGTGTCCACAGATCCTTGATGTAAAAATAAGACCTTAACTATGGAGCAAGATTGATCTCAATAATAATTCATGCAAAAGACATGTGCACACACTGCATATCCCAATTCACATTCATGAAACCTGAGTATGTGCACGAAAAAAAAAAATATATTCACAAAAACCAATTCACGTACACAAAATAAGAATATATATATTCATAAAATACGTTTCACAAACGCAAAACACAGTTCACAGATGTACAACTGTGTACAAAAATTCAGAATGTTTAGCAGCTGCTGTTTAGTCCAGAATGTGTTATGATTAATTATTTATCGATTATGAATCATTATTCACATGGATACCATAACATATTTAGATATTCTATTAATAAACTCAGTGTAAAGCATAAAATAAGGTTTTGACTGATGGGACATGTAAATGAATAGAAGATTATGAAAATATAGTTTTTTGGGTATTTTTCAAGCAGCCTCGTGTGTTTTTGTTTATTGAGGACATGAAAGAGCTGTCACAGCAGAGCTTGTCTTGTGTGTCAAGTCCTGCAATGGCACGCATTCAAATGATGACGATGTATTAAAGGGGTCATATGATGCGATTTCAAGTTTTCCTTTCTCTTTGGAGTGTTACAAGCTGATTGTGCATAGATAAGATCCCTGAAGTTGCAAAGACTAAAGTCTCAAAACCAAAGAGATATTCTTTATCAAAGTTAAGACTCTGCCACGCCCCCCTAAAACGGCTCGTTCTAACACGCCCCCACATCAAGAGGTCAAGAGGTCAAGAGGCATTTATTTATCATTTGCATAGTTAACACTGGGGAAAACTGGGCATTGAAATGCTTGTGACGAGGCTCAGACATACAGTGACAATAACAGGACCATACAAAAAAAACACAGATATAGACGTACGTGGAGGGCACTGAGATATTGAGTGACTTCAGTGACCATAGGCAGAACAATAACACAGACAGAGCATTAAATACAAATAAGTGGCAGTAACAGATACAATAAGGGTAGACGACAGTGTTAAGAGTTTTAAGTAGTCCTGAGGTACTGATATAAGAATATTGGGGGTAGAGCAGTGTCCAAAATGTCATTGTAGAGTGTCGCAGAGCTACATGAAAGAAAATTAAAGTGGCAGTGCAAGTACAATAAATAATAAACTTAAGAGCAGCATGTATTCCGGTTTTATATGAAGGATAGCTGGCTATTAAGCAGTCTGATGGCTTGAAGATAGAAGCTGTTCTTCAGTCTGGTTGTCCGTGATCGGATGGATCGTAAGCGTCTGCCAGATGGCAGTGTGGCAAACAGGTGATGAGCAGGGTGAGTGCAGTCCTTGATGATGCTGCGGGCCTTTCTCAAGCAGCGAGTTTGATAGATGTCCTGTAGTGCTGGGAGTTTATGTCCAATGATGAGCTCTGCTGTTCTCACCACTCTCTGAAGAGCTTTGCGGTCGAAAGAAGAGCAGTTGCCGTACCATACGGTGATGCAGCCGGTCAGAATGCTCTCTATAGTGCAACGGTAGAACGGTAGAAATTTGACATATGTACCTCATGTACCACATATCTACCTCACTATGTGGAAATATTAGCATAATGCCGCCCAAATGTGCACGCAACGAAAGAAGGCGTGG